TTATAAAGTGCAAACTAGATTACTGAACATGGAATATAATTTCGTATTTGTAAAAAAAATACACACACACACACACACACACACAAATACATACATAGAAAACATTCTGGAATGTACACACCAAATTGTTGACCAGAGAATGAAATTACTGAGGAGTTTTACTCTCAACTTGATAGTTTCGAAGTGACTGAACTTTTATAATGAGTGTCTGTTTTATGATCAGGAAACTAGATTTCAGTTCAAAAAACTATTCTATAAATAGTTGATGTCTAATGATTCGCATTTGATGACTTTATAATCGGATTATATGTATTGTAAATATATATTAAGATCAATGGCTTATATATTAAAAATGACTTATATAAATGACATGGATCAAGATGTCAACTTTTTCGCTTTTAAAATTGAGTGTTTTCGTTAGCCAGAATGTTAGTGTAAATTAAAAACATTGGACAACTAAGCAGTGAACTCCTGAAGCGTGGTACCCAAAGTACTGGTTGTCTAAGTTGCGCCTAGAGCTACTTTGAGGGACTTAGCGTAAGTCCTAGAAAGGTCCGAGCAGTCACCAGCCTTACGATGAGAAACTTCCGGTGAGCGGTTTGGTGGAGGGTTCGAGAATAAATGGTATTTCTCAAGAGTCAGGGAGACAGGGTCACTCAGCTCTCTGTGAGAGAGGAGTCGGGGAGCGTGCTATCAAGAAAAGAGGTCACTTCACTTGGGTTGAATTACAGGTGTATGGGTGGGCGTGTCCGAGACCCCAGCAGGCACCAGATTGCAGGATACCCGTTTTTCGTTTTGCTGGTCTAGGAGCGGACCTGTCAGTGAATTGAGATGGGAACATTTTGCATCCTGGGGAGTGATGAATGGAGTTGGGACAAATGTCTAGCATTTTGGAAAAGATAGTAAAGCAGAATTTCTTCTTTACTCTTTACACCAAACTAAATTCAGGTGGATCAAAGATGTAAATATAAAACTTGAAAATATGAGGGTACTAGGAGCATGGGGGAAGGTTTTCTGTTGTCCTTGAATGGGGAAGCCCTTCTATGCATATTCAAACCTGATAAGGAAGAGCTTAGTAAGTCTGACTGCTAGAAATGCAGCATTTCTGGCCTGAAGAAGTTCCTTGAAGACAAATGATAAACATTTGCAATTCGTATATATGGACAAAAAACTTGGCTCCTTAATATGCAAAGAACTCTGACCTGGCTGGTTTTGTGTGATTTGCAACCTCTGTTTTTTTTCTCATTTTATTTTTTACACACATGACCCTAAAGGCCTGCAAAGAAGACATTTACACGTCTCCAGGTGGTGGTTAACTTGTAGATTTCCTAGACTTCCACTGCAGTGCAGCCACCACAGTGGCCCTTCACTTCCTTCCTGTGTTCGCTTTCTGTTCCATGTGGAGTGAGACTCTTACCCTGGGTGTCATGTGGCTACCTCTTCATTGGAGTCCCAGCTCCAAGTCCCCTCCTCAGAGAGGGTGTGTCCAGCCCCCCAGCCTCCCCAGCCACAGCCACATGTATGTATATTGTCTTCCTCGGCAGCCAGAATACCTCAGCTCTGGGAACCATCCTGTCCCTTCATTCGCATGCCCATTGTGTATCCCTTCCACTGGGCTGTGAGCTCCTCAGGGAGATATTCATTTTTAAGATAAGGAATCTTCCTGCAGCGTTGATCGGTTTGTCATTATCCATAAGGAGAGAAGAGAAAAAAATAGTCCCAACACTCTCCTGACTGACACAGAGAAAAGGCGGTTTGACTATTAATAAGCTTTCCAGCTTATTAGCAGGAAAGGCCTTTTGAGATGGAAGGCTACCTGCCACGCGGATCCACGTGCCCTCTCAAGTCCAAATGTCTCAGTTGGTTTTACAAAAAGAAAACTAGCGCAACTAAATGCACAACAACATTCTATTCTCACAAGTCTTCCGTAACCTACATTTTCAGCCGAAGAGTTCCTCCTAAAAGGTTTCATTGTTGAGAGTTGCGTCTCCTTTTGCTCCTGGATTCTCCTCTCTCTTCTCCGTCTAGCATTTTTCTTAAGCAACTTTTTGTTAGGGAGACTCGTTGTCTCAAGACTTAACCCAGAATTTCATTTGTCAGCACTGAGTGACAAAGCGCAATCCCGAGTAAACCCGAGGATTACACAGTGAAAAGGAGAGAACAAAAGAATTTTCACAGAATCTGAGGCCTGAAATACTCTGCTTGTATGTTCTTATTCACCACTGTTTCTCCATTGCCTGGAGCAGTTTCTGGCCCATAGTAGGTGATCGATAAATGCGTAGTCAGTTCTCTTTCCACATCGTTCTCACTCATCCTGCTTTGCCTGTTAAATGCCTTACCTAAAGTTTACCTTTTAAATATTTATAAAAATAAAACAGTTGAATTTTCTCTGTTGGGTCTGCCATTTTTAAATAACAGCTTTATTAACATGTAATTCACACACCATAAAATTCACCCTTTTAAAGGATGAAATTCAGTGGTGTTTAGTATATTCACAAGGTGTGCCACCATCACCACTGTCTAATTTTAGAACATTTTCAGCATTTCTAGAAGAAACCCCATACCTCTTTATACTCATCCCCCTTCTCCCCTGTCCAACCCCTGCAGCAACCACGGGTCTGCTTTCTGCCTCCGTGGATTTGCCTGTTCTGGACATTTCACACTCATGGACTCGTACAATATGTGGTCTTTTGTGACTGACTTCTTGTGCTTAGCATAATTTTTTAAAGGTTCACCCATGTCGTAGCCTGTGTCAGTATTTCTTTCTTTCTTTTTTTTTTTTAACGGCCAAATAACATTCCATTGCACAGATGTACTACATTTTATCTATTTATTAAGTAATAAATAAAATTAAAACAACAAAATATTTTAAAATAAAGACTAATAGAGTTCTTAACCGGGATTGTTTTATAGGCAAACTAGAAAACAGGGCAGATTTCCAGGCAACTGAAAATTTAGGTTGTATCATTGATAGACTTGGCATTAGAGTCGCCCGGTGTTAACACATCTTGGGTATGCAGTCCGCATACGTGCTCGGTATCTCAGAGCAGTTTACCTTAAAACACCAGATTGGAAGGTAGAATCCAGAATGATATTAATTAGAGAGAACACTAACTTTTTGATTCTATAAAGCAACTGTATAAAAAATACACTTCTATTTTAATGGACTTTTAAATCAAAATTCTTGTAATAATGAAATAGAATATGGAGCTTAAAAGAAGGATAATCATTGACAAAATCGGATAAGATTATGTAGTACTGAGTAAGTTGAATGCATTGCGTATTCAGAAGGATGTTTGAGTCTATGGCCATGCCACCCTGAACAAGCCCGATCCCATCTGATCTCAGAAGCTAAGCAGGGTCGGGCCTGGTTAGTACTTGGTTGGGAGACCACCTAGGAAGACCAGGTGTTGTAGGCGTAAAATAAATAAATAAAAGATTAAAAAATAAGGGATCATAAGCTGACAAGGTCCTTGCAATCTGTGAGGCCAACCAAGGGTTGCCTTGCCTAAAAATAAATAAATAAATAGATAAATAAATAAATAATGAAAAACAAAAGGGTGTTTGATGAGTCTGTTTCAGCATTAAGATCAGTATTTTTAACTTTCAGGACGACTGGAACAAGGACCCAGTGTGGAAGGTCTCCATGTCCCAGCTAAGGCTGCTTTAGGTAATATGCGTAAGACTCTTTATTCTGATTTAATGAGTGAGATTCTTTAAGGAAAAAAAAAATGAGATTTTATTAAGCAAACATGCTGTTCTGTTTTAGCCAGCTTAATGTCTATGAAACGCAGCAGCCTGTAACAAGATGCTGTTGATGCTTTTGATTTGCAAATTTATGTGGGGCTGGTTTCTGTTCCCAGCATAAGCAGAGGTCAGAGCAGCCACACCATTCTTATCTGTGCAAGAACTCTTAGCATTTTCTTCTGATTTTATAATCTTTAATTTTTCATTATCAGGAAGTATTATCTGAGATTGGTGCAGATTATACTGCATTAATTGGAAAGCAGCTGCTTTGGTGAAAAAGAACTAAACTGTTAGAGATGTTCCAGATAATATTTTATCCTGTATTAATAGACTTATAGGAGGTTGAGAGTAGATTATGTGACTAGTACAACACAAAGCTAAAAAGTGGTAGAAAGGAAAATTTCCAGGATCTCTTTTTCATACTTGAAATGGAATTTCAAGTATAATAAGAGGATGTTATCCTGTTATTATAGCTAAAGATTTTAATCTTTCATTTGTGGTTTTATGCTATCTTTTAAAGCACATTCTCTTTGGAAGAAAAAAATTAAGATTTTATTCTTACTGGGTCTCTTAAACGTAATTCTAAAAACAACAGGATATATTATCTATGATTAAAATTTACCCAGAAAACAGTTTTTTAGAAACTTTCTCTAAAAGTATCAAATATTTGTGTGCAATTTAGAAAGTATAGCTACTAACACAATTTGTTATTTGTTAATATGATAAAACCTCTGTGTGAGTCAAGGGGAAAACGCAAGTCTCTTGCTGCTTGTCCTGTTAGCATCCTGCCTGGCTAACTTTATACTTTAAGATAATGTGGACGTGTCTGAGGAGCAGAGGCTGATGGGAGGGTGTGCTCTGAGAAAGCGGTGGACGGGGTCAGCTCACGCTCTTTATTCCTCCCCAGCGTGGTGTCTAGAAACACGCTTCCTCTGAGTGTGGTAACTACTTGGGAGTTACCACCTGAGGACTCCATTTTGATGCTTCTCTGTCCTCCTTAAATGCACTCATTCACTTGTCTTCTGGATGACAAACTAATGTGGAAAATGTCTCTTAAATATTAATATGTAGTATCTGAGAATTTTTTGAAAGATACAGTAAAAGTAGAAAAAGCGTGCATTTCTGTTGGTCTGACTTTCTACTTTGTATTTTTTTAACAGAAGTTTCCTCTATCATAAAAAAGAAACCGAATCAAGCTAAAAGAGGAGTGAGTATGATGTGTGAAAGATGCAGGCGTCAGCTCTGAAACAGCTTGTGTACTTAAAGCCGCCTTTGTCACTTCACTCGTATTATTTGAGCCATAGTATAATGAAGGTGGCTTTGATAGAGGCTATGTTTTGCTCAGTGAGGTGAACGTTATTCTTAGAGAGATCTTCTAGAATGAGTGTTTAACGTTTCTTCTGTCAACAACAAAATTCTTTAAAACATCAGCGGAGGCTCCCTGAGACTTTGTATCCTGTTTGCGCTTCTGTGAGCAACGCTGTCTTGTGAGGCTGGAGGGTCATCTGTCCAGCGTTCAGATCCCGCGAGGCACCAGCATTTGAATCCTGACGCTGTCACTTACTGGCTGTGTGATCTTGGTCCAGTCTCTTAACTTGACCTGTAAATTGGGGAGGAGAATAATGTCCACTTCCTAGAGCCGTGAGAACTAAGTAAGGGAACCAGTGTGAGGCGCTGTCACAGTGCCCGCCGTAAATGCCAGCTGTTGTTGCAAAGCCATCACACGGTTTGGGTGGAATATAATCCTATGTATCTTCTAGCTTGGGGCCAAAAAAGGAAGTTTGGGAGCCCAGAAACTGACGAATACGAGCTTTAATGAAATCGAAAAACAAGCCCAAGCAGCAGATAAAATGAAAGAACAGGAAGACCTTCGGGCCAAGGAGGCCTCTAAGGGAGAATCGATGTAAGTTTAATTTGGTTATAATAATACGTTTTTCGTAATAAAACTATTAATTAGACAACTCCCAGATTTACTTTCCTAATGCCATTTATTTTTATGTGTGAGGAGGATAATGCGAAATTTAGTTTTATGAAAACTGACATCGCACTGACGTGCGGATCGGAAGGGAGGCGACTAGTGGTGGGGGGAGCAGCAGCAGTTTCGGGGGGAAGCCGCGAGGGCGGGCTTGGGGCGGCATCCACGAGAGGGGAAGACCGATGTGCCAGGAGGCATGTACGCATGGAGGATGCTCGCATCGTCAGTCATTAGGGAAACGCACACTGAGACCCCGCCTCACTCACTCACATGGCCATGATCAAGGAGACAGACAATAACAAGTGTCGGCGAGAATGTAGAGGAACTGGGGCCCTCACACGCTGCTGGTGGCAATGTAAAGAGTTAAACGTAAAGTTACCATATGACCCAGCAATTCCACTCCTAAGAGAAATTAAGACGTGTGTCCGCATATTCACACAAAAGCTTGCGTTCCTAGCAGCATTAATCCCCATAGCCAAAAAGTAGAAACAACTCAAACGTCGGCCAGCTGATGAAAGGATGAGCAGAAGGTGGTCTGTGCGTACAATGGGGTTCCATTCAGCCATAAAAAGGAATACAGAACTGATACGCCCTGCACCGTGGATGAACCTTGAGCAGTCTGTGCTAAGAAAGAAGCCAGTCACAGAGACCACAAGTCGTATGGTTCCATGTACAGGAAATGCCTGTAACAGGCAAATCCGTGGGGACAGGAAGCGGGCCAGTGGTTGCAGGGACTGGGGGATAGGGGCTAGGGGAGGATGGGGAGTGACTGCTGATGGGCGTGGGGTTCTTGTTTGGGGCGACGAAAATGTTCTGGAATAAGATAGTGATGATGTTGGCATAACCTTGTGAATATACTAAACACTGCCAAGTTATATATTTTAAAATGGTGGATTTTATGGTATGTGAATTGTATCTCAATAATGAGAACTCGGCTAAATTCTGAGTATATGATGGAAGGCTGTGGGTATGGTGGTCTCCAGGGGTTTTGAGCCTGGATCTTCGGGGGGTCCCAGAGTCAGGCTTGGCTCAGAGGAGGGGGAGGAGTTTTCAGAGACTGAAGAAGAGGGAATTGAGACCTCGGTCCTGTGGGGACCTGCACGGACCAGTGGAGTTGGAATGACCACACGGAGCCCCGTGAGTCAGCGTTGGTTTCACAGTATCCGAAGGGAGAGCCGTGGGCAAGGCGGTGTGTTTGGAAAAGCGGGTTTGGCGGTGCCCTCTGGCCGTCTGCAAAGTGCAGGCGAGCGGGTGTAAAAAGCACAGGAGGCTGGATGCGACACGGGAGAGGCCGCTGGGGTTCCTAGCTCGTGCGTTTGCTTTATTTACGTGGTGTTCTCTCTTATTCTCATGCGTATTTCATCAGTTTTAGCTCGAGTTACTACGGACTGCATGATGAAAATATTAATACTTATTTTGTGAGGTGGTTTTGAGGATTAACTCAGTTAATATGGCGTCAGTATGGTCATACTGACAATTCACTAAGTGGAATTTGCATGCTAAGCCCAGATAATTTAGTTGATAGTTCTCATTGTTATTTCACTCATAGGCCCTAGGGGGCAGCACCAAACTGTATTTAGGTGTGAAATGATTTACATAACATTGGTTCTGAGTTGTCTCGCTTTAATTTCTCTGACTAAGTGAGTTTTCTGACTCTGGGAAAGGGGAGAGGTTACGTCTGAGTGTGTAGGCAGCTTCCTTTGGTGTTTGAGAGTGAGCTGTGTCCGGATTCCTCACTCCTGGGCTTTTCCCAGAGAGTGTGTAGAATCCCATGCCTGATGGGAACGGAAGACATGGAATACAGAAGCAACAGCTCCCTGCCTGCAGCTCGGGTGCGTGGAGACTGGTCATTGCTACTAGACGCTGTACCAGCCTTTATTCGTAGCTTTCACTAGGACGGCTCGATGCACCATGAGAACAAAGACGCAGGTCCTGGGGGATTTCTGGATGCGATTTGGGACCCCAGTTCGACAGCTTAGGCGGCCTCGTTCAGAACAGCCGCACGCCCGAGCCTTAACCACTGTCCTGCCTCCCGGACCCTCTGCAGCTCGGTTCCAGCAGCGCTGGGCCAGCTGTGAGCAAGCGCACGTTTCAGCCTTCAGATGTGCGAATGTTGTTTTTCTGCAAGTGAATTTTTGTAATGGCTGTAAACAAAGTCATTTCAGCGTAGTAAACGGCCAGGAACAATGTTTTTTTCCTTGTATCATCAGACTGTGAAACTAAGCTGTCGGTGCAGTAGCCTAATCCACAGCTTCTGGCAGTTTCCCGCCCGTCCTCGGGGGCGTCCTTGCCCAGGTAGTAGGATGAGTGCAGAGAGGCGGAGCTGCCATCCCCGGGCTGCGCCGTGCCGTGCGTGGTCGGAGTGTCTCGCAGGCCAAAGCTTGAGCTGTGCTGGGAAGGGCTCCAGCAGTTCTGAGAAACGCGGAGTCCTGACTTCCTGATTCCATTAGCGCTTCCAGAGCTGGATTACAGTAAGCCTGGATGCTTAAGGGCGTGCTTGCAACGGGGGACAGACGGGGGACAGACCCAGGCCCACGCTCCCGGGCCCATGTCGGATGTCCGAGGGAGGAAAGCTTTCCTGGTTCATATCTTTCTAGTAGAACGTTTTCCTTCCCATCCATTCATCTTCTCCAGAAGAATCTGTTGCTACAGTTATATCTATTCATGTTTAAACAGCTCTTTTGTTTTCCTCCAAAAACTAGGCCAGAAAGAGTATTCTTTTTTTTATGAGTAATAAAATGAGTATATTGCTGTTACCCGTTCTGTAGGAATAATAGCAAAGAAAGCAAACTGCCAGATTAAAACAAAACAAAGAAATCCTGCTTGACTCATTAAGGAAGGAAGCTGTAAAAGCAAGATTACTTTTTCTTAGTAAGGAGGTCCATTGTCATTCCCTGTTACCGTACAGAAATGCATTTCTATTATTACGGGATTTGTACAGTACTTTGCTTGCATCCTCGTGACATTTCACACAATTTTATAAAATGGACGATAGCTTAGAAATCCCTACGAGGTATATACAACACTTGTCAGGACCTGAGGTTTTGTTGACATCTTGCATATGATATTGTGCTCTTGTTATCGCTGACATGGGCACAGTTCGCTTTATGAAAAATTAAGTAGCACATTTCAGAAATCTGAGAGTAAGGGGCAGCGTTTCATGCGTCTTTTTATCCCTTTTGGTGCGTTACTGGTAACAGGTATTTGATAGATAAATGCTCTGTATCTGACTGGTAGTGCAGAAAAATATATTGGCAGAAGAACAATTATTCCATTTTAAATGCTTTCAGAAGTCTAATTACATAAAGAGAACTTATGGAAAATTTTCTTGTAAGCCGAAAGATACTTTTGCAATTAAGTAACCCCTTCTTAATTCATCTGTTTGTAAAGTCCAATTTATATATATAAGCAAACCAATGAAACTAACCTTGTATTTTTTATATGGAATGTGGAAGTATAATAAAATATTAATCCAAGTAAGAAATTCAGCTTTTTACTATCCTATGTAATAATTTTTATATACATAATGTTATTACATAA